TTCGGGCTAGGAGGTCGGTCTGCAAGTTGTGCCGACAGGTCTCTACCAGTGTAGACTGTGTCATACCTGACGAACACCGGAGAGCCATGGTTCGGAACCTTTTGACGAAGGCTTTGACGGATTCCCTCTTCTTCTGCTTAGTGGCGAGAAGGGTATGGATGGAGACTTCTGTATCCTCTTCAAAAAATCTTGACAGGAAGAGTCTCTCTAAATCTGCCCACCTTTAGATACATCCGACAGGTAGTTTCCTGAACCATTCAAAGGCAACTCCCTTAAGGGTGCCAATGAACAATCGAGGCAGTATGGCATCGTTTGATATTACATTCCCAGTCTGTGACTTGAAATGATAAATATGTTGGTTCGGTGATCCCGTGCCGTCAAAAGTTTGTAGCGTCGGGACTTCAAATTTTGGAGGATAAGGGGCTGCATCCCATTCGACAGGATAGGGTTGACAACTCCCTCGTCTTGGAGCTCACTTCTGTTGGCCATGGCATTAAGGCGGGCTTCCAATTCTTCCATTTTGGCAGACTGGAGATTCTGCTCGTTCTCAGTCTCTCTTCCTTCATCAGAGGAAGATTCTAGGTTGTGGGCTTCTTGGTCAGAAGCCGTGTCATCAACCACTTTTCCCTTCCCTTTGCTTGTGTGAGGTCGGGACGAAGACGTTCTTTCCCTTCGGGAAGATTCTTGCCTGAGTGGCGAATCTGTCTTCTGAGATTTGGCCTTGTCTGTGACAATTTGAGTCAACAGGGCCATGAGTTCATTGATGGCCTCTTGCTGAGATTTGAGCATGGCCTCCTGCTCATCAAGTCTCTTCGCGAGATCTTCATGGTTTCCCGTCATATAAGCGTAGCTCTCATGTTCAACAAAAGAGCTTGATGACTGGGACTCTGCAATGGCTGAGTGTTCATCATCGGAATTGGTTCCTCTGGCTAACCTCCGATAATTGACAGGGAGAATGGTTCCTGTTCGCGTCCGAGTGCGTTGGTAGACTCCTTCAAACTCGTTAGCGATTTCTCTGACGCTTGGAGAATGATCTGTCTCTGACTCGTCAGAACTCAGGGTTGATGATCTCCCTCTACCAACCATGTTAGAAGTGACTCCAAGGTATTCATCCTTGGCTCTTGGTGAATATGGATCTGGTTGAGATGCCTTGAATCCATAAACTTCTTATATCCGCCCCTCAACCTAGTCGCGCTACGCAGAGTATTCGGGGGTCTCGCTGCCCGGTCAGCGAGCCGGGGGTCCAGGGGGCGGCGCGCCCCTGGCCAGGGGGTCCGGGGGGGATGGTATACCCCCCGGCGGGGTTCGGGGCAGCGCCCCGAAGCTCCACGGTACACACCAGGCTCAATATTAGATTTGGCACTTGGGACGCGAGGGTCGTGTCTGGCACTTGAGACGCGAGGGTCACGTTTAGCACTTAGGACGCGAGGGTCGCGTCTGGCACTTAAGACGCGAAGGTCGCGTTTGGCACTTGAAACGCGAGGGTCGCGTTTTGGTTTGGCGACATGAGGGTCGCGTTCTTCATTGTCGACGCGAGGGTCGAGTTTTGACTGGGAAACGCGAAGTTGAAGTTCGCGTTCAATGTAGACTTGAGGTCCGCGTTTTGGAAGTAAAACGCGCCATTGAGGGCCGCGTTCAATCTGGTTCTCGCGAAGCTCATGTTTGGGCTCAGGGTCGCGTTTGGGCTCACGAACGCGAAGTTCGCGTTGGTTGGAGAATCGACTTTCTCGAAGTTGTGCTCGTCGCTGAGACCTTCTTCTTCGCCGAGCAGCGTTCTTCTTGGCCTGTTTTAAGGCTTTTGCAGAGGCATCATCGGCGTTTATGGAGCTCGTCTCCTCTCTAAGCCGTTTATGGCCTGAAGCACATCGTGTTGACGCGGATGTGGGACATTCAACTCGCTGGGCGAGTTCGGCTGAGGCTAAGCTCGCTCCTGAAGCAGAGTGACTGTTCGACAAATTGCGGCCAAAGGAGAGGACTTTCTTCGGCACTCCAGCAACAGTTAGAGATTTATTCTCCTTGGAGACTTTGTGGATCTTGCGCATAGCCTTGGGGCTAAGGGATCCGGAAGAGATAGCCTCCTCAAACTTGGCTTGATCAAACTCTACCACGAGAGTTTCGACAGTTATTCCAGTGAGATGAACATCGGATTGCACCACCACTTCTTCGTCACAGAAGCTAGTCCCCAGCGGAGTCGCCATCTTTTGTATGTAGGAAAAATTGCAATGAAAAGAACAAAGAAAATTGATTTGTATTCCTTTGATTCCGATTACAATTCGATTACAAAAGAGAGGAGAACGAAATTGGTTCTTCCTCTTTGTTTAAAACTGGGTTCTTCACGGTGGCGATGGAGTGCCTCCCTCGAGTGCTCGCGTCGAGTTTGCTCTCCGTTGACGATCCGCACGTCTTGATTCACTGGAACGATGTCTTCTCCTCACGATTTGACGTTGTGGAGAACTTGCGTGGCAAGTTTGAGAACTCAGAACGAGTTTAGAAGAACTCTGTAAAAGAGTTGATTTGAACCGAAGATCGGTTATAAGCCAAGGACAGAGGCTCCCTGATGCTAATCTGGCGTTCAGAACCCAACTTCGCCTCTTAGAATTGAGACGCGAAGTTGGGTGTTGGCTGAACATTGATGAACGCGAGGGTCGCTCGCGTTTTGGTTTGTTGTAGCTTAGAAACGCGGGGGTCGGTATTGGCTGGGGCTAACCCTTAACTCAGTTGAGTTTGTTGAGTTTTTATAGGGGGATTAGAGGTTGTAACTGCCCTCTAAATCCGCTCCTAAGTGGGCGAAAATCCCTCAGAACGTGGGATAACGGTTTTGAGGCTGTTCGGCTTGTGTTTGAACAAGTCAAAACGCCCAATCTGGCGTTCAGAACCCAACTTCGCCTCTTAGAATTGAGACGCGAAGTTGGGTGTTGGCTGAACATTGATGAACGCGAGGGTCGCTCGCGTTTTGGTTTGTTGTAGCTTAGAAACGCGGGGGTCGGTATTGGCTGGACCCCTAAGAACGCGAGGGTCGCTCACGTTTAGCTTGTTGTAACGCGGGTTCGACCCTGGCGTTTTGATGTTGTAACGCGGGTTCGACCCTGGCGTTTTGATGTTTGTAACTCCCGATGTTGATTGTGAAGGCTGTTGAATTAGAGTCGTCAGATTGTAACTCCCGATGTTGATTGTGAAGGCTGTTGAAGTAGAGCTTCCATCAGTTGTCGTGAAGGTCGTCAGATTGTAACCTTCAGCAATCTACGCGAAAGTCTTCAGATTACAGCCTTCTGGAAGTCGTCAGATTGTAACTTCCATCATCGGTGGTTGATGGGGAATAAGCTATCTATTGTGTTTTTTTTTAGACAGCCTACAGCCACATCATTGTGTATGAGAGAATTCTCTCGTATGCATATGATACCCATTAGCCTTATATACACACACCCCCCCCTATTTTGTTGTTCTTTATATTTTACAAATTTGATGCGTCTTGTGCTCGTATCCGCTCCCGTATTGATGGTCGTACTTGTTTTTATGCAACTTAGGTATTCAAAAACACAATCTACCCTATCTTCATCAAGAAAATACTCATCAAATGAAGCTATCCATAATTAGAAAATTCTATTAATCAAGGTCTTCATTTCTAATCCTATTTTCACCTAAGAATCCTCATGAAATTAAAACTATCCATCATTAAGAAAACTGTGATACTCAAATACCTCATTTTTTATAATCATTTTTTATATAAAAGGGTTCTTCGAGATTAGAAAATTATCAACTGTGCCCTTCAAAATCCAAAACTACATATAGTCCCTTGAAAATCCAAAAGTTACAAACAACCCTTTGAGATCTAAAAATATAAACACCTCCCTGAAAAATCTGAAAATCCAAACAGACCCCTTAAGAATAAAAAATTTGCAAATAACCCATTTGAATCCATAATTTGTGAATAAATCCCTAAAAAATCTAACAATTACAAACAACACAATAAAACTTAGAAAATTATAAATTGTCCGCCTTAAAATCCAAAAATTACGAACAATACCTAAAAAATTTGAAATTCACTGTCTTCTGAAAAGTTCAAAAATTACAAATAATCCCTGAAATTTTACAAGAAATTCCCCTCAAAATTTTAAAACCAGCCCCTTGAAAATTTAGAAAATTAAAACTAGCCTCTTGAAAAGTTTACAACTACATCTATGAAAATTGTTAAAATAAGATGCATCCTACTTAAAATTTTGAAATAATACAAAATACTCCATAATTTTTTTTTTCAAAAAGCCTTAAAAGTTTAAAAAATTAGAAACACCTCTGAAAAATCTGAAAATTACAAAATGCCCATGAAGTAGCAAAAAAACCCTGAAGATTAAAAAATTAGAAATAAAACCCTGAATAATCCAAAAACTAAAAACAACACATAAATTTTTAGGGTTACTTCCATATTAATAATCCCTCAAATCTTCAATACCAGTTTCTAACTAGATATCCTGACATCTCAGCTTTAAAAAAAATCAAATTCTAAAAAACTAACTAATTTGATCTTCAAGATGTCCTGCATTATTAACGCATTCGAAGGACGTATAAACCAGCCTATATGAACCAAAGGAATCAAAACAATTAGTTCAAGCATGGGTATAATAATTGTCACTGTAAAAATTGTTAACGTATATGAGAAAGACAAGTTGTTTTCACTTTTATTTACTGTCCACCTATTTGGTCTGGCATATATCTATAGATTGTATGATTTGCAGGCTTCTCATAGTAATTACTCCTTTGATTTACTACGTTTATATTTTCATTTGATCTGAGCTTGCAGCTTAAGAAATTACCTAAAACAAACACTGAACAATAAAATTGATTAGAAGATGACGAAAACAACTACATTAATATCATATCTAGGCAAATAACCATCACAATTATCTATGTTCAACGCTCTGTGGTAGCATTGTTATGTTCCATCTTATTCTAGTCGGATAAATGTTGCTTGCACTTATTATTTATGAATTGTATCTCCTTGTTAGGTTCCTGTAGTCAATGGTCCAAGAGAACCCTGGCATGATTTGCATACTAGAATTGATGGTCTAGCAGCTTACGACGTTTTGACAAATTTTGAAGAACGGTGGTTAAAGACAGCAAAACGCCATGGAATAAAGAAAATAAAGAAGTCTTATGATGACGCCTTGCTTAATATTAGTAGAGTCCCAGAGATTTTAGGTATGCATGAGTCACCATATATAAACGATACTGATCCTGAGACTTGGCATGTGCAGGTATGATATGTTTAAGTTTATACGAAATTATTAATTGTTCTGTTTGCTTTGTGTCTTACCTGCATTACTGTCTCAGATCTTCCGCTCAATCGATTCAAATTCTGTCAAAGGTTTTCCTAAGGATCCAAAAATTGCTACTAGCAAGGTAAATCATTATCTGACTAGGTGTAGACAAGATTTGTGTATCTTTTCATTGCAGTTTTTTATTTAAACTTAACTGGTGAATTTTTTTGCTACAGAATCTAATATGTGGTAAAAATGTACTGATTGACATGAGCATACATACTGCTTATGTCAAGGCCATACGTGCTGCCCAACACTTCCTTTACATTGAAAACCAGTACTTTCTTGGTTCATCATACAATTGGGATTCAAACAAAGACCTAGGTAAGCATGACCAGCTAGGTGTGTTATGATGAAATGCATGTGTTTAACTTAGTTGAGCTTTGGATTTGTCTGTTTACCATTAGCATAAGCTCTTCTTGGTGAAATTTTGTTATAATAGCGTCATTTCTTTTTCATAATAAGATTAACGATTTGTTTATATTAGAGTGAAAGTTATCATGGTATAGAATGTAAAGTCCACCCCATGTAATGCTGGATATCTTTTCTTTTGAAGTGGGTAAGTTTGAGATAGAGAATATGGAGATGAACCCTATCCTTTAGCAGTGGCATCCCATGGTTATTGGGTTAAATTTTTTGAAAATTTGAAATCATATGGATTTGAAAATTTGAATTTTTTTGTTTCTTATTTAATTTTAATCATTTAGATAAGATGAGATTAGGCTAGAGATAGATTTGGTCAGTTCTTATCAATTTGTTAAAACTTGAATTATTAGACTTTGTCTAGTATTTAGTTAGTTGAGATTTAGTTATCGTATAGAAGACTTTGACTTAACTAGAGCCAGAAGCTACATTATGCTGATTGAGAACACCAATGAATTAGTTTTCGTCTGTTTATTCTTGACCACTTGATTATAAACCTTATTCCTGTGACAGTGACATTCCCTATTTTTCCACTCTTTATCTTTCAGAATCTTCATAATTTTGCTATTCTCAAATTATTACCATGTCTCTGGCATAATTATGTTATTCAATGCATGTACTTTTTCCTTTTATGCAATTGTTCTAAGTTTGCAGTGCACTTGTTAACTTGGGGTCATGTACAGCTAATCATTTGTTATCAATTAGTATGTTAATAGGATGATTGCTCAACAGAACAGAGCAAAATGTGAAGCAATTAAGATATCATTTTGTTGTATGACACTTGTTTAAAATGATATTTTGTGGCTTCAGCGAGCCAATAACGATCACTTAATGTTCTAATGGACATTGTAGGAAGATCATGTGTTTGCCTCTTGTGAAGGGCACTAATCATGAACTCTCTTTTCATTGCAAGTATGCAAATGTTTTCCTGATGAAAAAGAGGGCAGCTAATTCAAGGACCAAAAGGCACACATTTTGTGCTTATAGATCTAACTGTGAACCTCTATGCAGGACCATAACTAGGTGGCAGCATATTGTTATGCTTACACTATTCACCAGCCGAATAGAAACTGTATTATGGTGTGTAGGTCATGAGTCATTTAGACTAACTAAATTTGGAAAACCTCAAGAATTATTCTGTTAACTTTGACACAGAATATGGTTCATCCGCCGTTGTCATTTTTAAATTTGAATAAAGTGGTCAGTGCTACTTCACTGATAAGGGATTTGCAGTTAGATTAGTTGCTTCTGAATTCAACTGATCAAGGTAATACTTGTGGTAATGTATTCCCCTTCAACTGGCCCTTGGTTGCCAGCTCATGGATCTCAAATTTATAGAATTCTCATCATTAAGTTTCTCTCTGTAATTGGAAGGACCTTCGTTGGAAGCAACAGAAGCTGATGCATGTGTATATTCAATGCCAGCTGCCTTCTTAATCTTTTGAAATATTGAAGATAATTTTGTATTCTTGACATGCTCCTGCTGGGGCTAAAACATCATCTTTGTGGTAGAGGATATGTAAGCTCCAGCTCCATGCGAGTTTTCCCACACTCAATTTGGTGTGAGACACATGTCAATAATAGAAGAGTTGGGCTACAATTACTAGTTTTATTTCCTTATGCAGTTATAAAGACAATACAATGCATAAATTCAACTGTTAATATATTGACCAAATCAAAGTACTATGCAAGAAAAGTCAGTATGACATTGCAGTTTCAGTTTCCTGTTACCTCTTTATGCAATTATCCCTATTAGAAGTACATGTTGTCGTCAGCCTGTGGCTACTTCATATATTTCCTACTACATGTTTCATGTTTCTTATTGCCAGGTTATAAAAGATGTTTTCATGTTTATCGCTCAAGGAGACTTCTCCGATATTTGTTAAATCTAGTCCTTTCTTTAGCCAACTTTTAAGCATTCTGTCTGCTGTTCATCCTATGGCAAGCACTACTTCAAGTATACTGATCTAAACAGGATGCTTTTGGTTTCTCTATGTTTAACGCATGAAGTTCTTATATAGCTGTAATTGCTAAGAAAATTTTCTGCCTTGCAGGTGCAAACAATCTGATACCAATTGAAATAGCCCTTAAAATTGCAAATAAAATTAAAGCTAATGAGAGATTTTCTGCATATATAATTGTTCCTATGTGGCCTGAGGGTAACCCAACAGGTGCTGCTACACAACGAATTCTCTATTGGCAGGTTAGCCCTGGTTCTGAAGTATATCCTGTGTGATAAAACTACTGCTGCCTATATTTGATTACTCATGGGATTAGAGTTTGAGCATTTGCAATGCATATGTATTTACAATTTTGTTTTAAATCTATGGAATGACATCATGAAAAGAAAAGAAGAATTGTGATATTGTTTGATAAGAGTGCAAAACCCAATATATTGGGTCTGCTTTTAAGAATAAGTGTATAAATTATTTGTAATTAAACATTAAGTTTATTGTGAGATTTTTGTGCTAAAAAGAGGCAAGGATAGCCATACAAGGAAGTGTACATTTTCTCTATGTGAATAATAGATGTTATCCATAACAATTATACTCGAATTGTAAGAGTTTAAATATATAGATGGTGTCAAACTATATAGATGGTGTCACGAGCATGACATAGACTTTTAAGGGTACATGATGTAGGTCAGCTTTCTCTTGGAATATCTAGGAGGAACAAATAAAGCAATAAAAATGGTTAAAGCGCTGTCAAGTATTAGGTTTTTTTTATTTTGGTATAAATTTTCTCGTAGCTATGTCTATAAGGAGACATATTATTTTTAGAAATCTTAATTGATTTTGAGATCTTTTTTAAAACCAAGTTATAAGGAGACAAATTTATATTGTGTAAGTGGATCAATTCGACGATTTAAATTTGAAGTCAAGAAGGAGGAATTGTTGCGCGCAGTGGAAATTTCGGCAGCACTTCGGCAGCACAACAAGAGAGTCAGGTCGCAATAAGAATTCTTGTTTCTTAAAGGGAACAAGAATCTGAAGCCTAATATCCCATCAAAGTGGGATATTTGCTCTTCCTCTCGTCAGCTCTAGGACTGCGCGTCGAGTGAACCTAAAAGCTATTACAAATCACACAAATAACGAGACAACCAATTTTTACGTGGTTCGGCAAATTGCCTACGTCCACGGGGCAAGGAGGGGGGAGATCTACTAATAAAGGGAGAGAATACAATTAGGGTTTACAATCACTCAATCTAAACCCTCACACAAACTCTCAGATCCCTCACACAAAATCTCTCTACAAAAGGGATGCACAAAACCCTAACAAAAGTACAAAAGGACTGCACACAAAATCACAAAATCAAAGACGTGTTTCCTTGCTACAGTCGCTTTTCCCTCTGCTTTGCATCAACACCTTTTGCCGCCCCTGTTCATGCTCAGCCGAAAACAATCAAATCTCCTGCACCTTAAAACCTAATAAACAATTGTTTATATATAGGCATGTATAGTTATCGGGTGGGCCTGGTAATTCGGGTCTTTGGGTGTTCACGAAAAAACACCTCACACAATTTGCTCACGTGTGGTCCCGACTCATTCACGTTCACAATTCTCCACCTCGGTGAAGTTTTCTCAAAACTGAGCCGACACCAAAGCAACCAAAACGTTCACAATTCTCCACCTCGGTGAAGTTTTCTCAAAACTGAGCCGACACCAAAGCAACCAAATGTCCTAATTGTTGTGACCAGTACGAACTCAATCCACAACATGTCGAGAACCCGAACGAGAGTCCAAACAATCCCACCCCCATCAAAATCAACTAATCCAAACCGGCTGCATCTGAAAGACTGCCTACGTATCCTCTTGCCCAAGGAATCAAGTCGAACGTAGTTCATCCAAATAGCCGTCAACGGCCTCAACAATCACGAATATGCAACAAGTTTCGACAATGATCAAACTTGTTGCTTGGAACCACCTTAGTGAGCATATCCGCCGGATTATCCTTCGTGTGGACTTTCACAATTTCCACATCGCCATCTTCAAGAACATCTCGAACGAAGTGATAACGAACGTCAATGTGCTTCGTTCTCGCATGAAAAACCTGATTCTTCGCCAAATAGATAGCACTCATGCTATCACAATGAATAGTGACGGACCTCTGCGATATACCAAGTTCCTCCAAAAGTCCTCGAAGCCAAATAGCCTCCTTCACAGTCAACGTAACCGTCATATACTCTGCTTCCGTCGTAGACAAAGCCACCGTAGACTGTAAGGTGCATCTCCAACACACCGGCGCACGGGTCAAAGTGAACACATACCCCGTCGTAGACCGGCGCTTATCCAAATCCCCGGCATAATCCGAATCAACATAACCAATGCATAACTGCCCACCTATAGTGTCCCGCTCATAAACTAAACCAACATTGAGTGTACCTTGAATGTACCTCAAAATCCATTTCACAGCGTCCCAATGACCCACTCCTGGATCATGCATGTATCTCGAAACCATGCTTACTGCCTGTGACAAATCTGATCTCGTACATACCATTGCATACATCAAGCTCCCTACCGCACTCGCATATGGAGTCTTCGACATCAACTCACGATCTTCAACTGACTTTGGTGAAAGACCAGCTGAAAGCTTCAAATGAGCTCCCAAAGGTACAAACTGGCTTTGTATCCATGCTAACATGGAATCGCTGTAGAATCTTCTTCAAATAAGCCACTTATGTCAAACAAATTCTGCCCTTATTCTTGTCTCTACCGATCTCCATCCCTAAAATACGCTTCGCCTCGCCCAAGTCCTTCATCTCAAACTCATTTGAAAGCTAAACTTTCAACTCATCTATAGCCGACCTGGAAATAGAGGCAACCAACATATCATCGACATAGAGCAACAAATAAATGTACGCACCTCCTTTCAACTTGCGAAAATATACGCAAGGATCAAACTGGCTCCGAGTGTACGAATGACCAATCATAAAACCATCGAATCGCCTATACCACTGTCGAGGAGACTGCTTCAAACCGTATAGCGATTTCTTTAGCCTGCAAACCAACTTATCTTTCCCTGCAGCTCGGAATCCCAATGGCTGAGTCATATATATTTCTTCATCAAGATCACCATGAAGAAATGCCGTCTTCACATCCAACTGATCTAACTTCAAACCATACTGTGCCACCAAAGCTAGCAAAATCCGAATCGAAGAATGCTTCACCACCGGGGAGAAAACCTCATTATAATCTATTCCTTCCTCCTGTGCATAGCCCTTCGCAACCAACCTAGCCTTGAATCTCAACGGAGTGCCTTCAATGCCCTCCTTCTTCGTGTATACCCATTTGCAACCAATTGCCTTCCGCCCCTTTGGAAGCTCAACAAGCTCCCATGTATCGTTCTTATGAAGAGATTCCATCTCCTCCTGCATAGCCACCTGCCACGAATCAGCCTCCGAACTCTGTTCGGCCTCTCTGAATGTAGTAGGCACTAACTCATCGATACTCTCCACCGAAAGTACATACGCAACTGTGTCGGCATACCGTACTGGTATCTGTATGTTTCTCCTCTGTCTCCGAGCCGCAATCGAATCCTGAACCTAAGCCGTCGGTTCTTGATCTTGCACATTTGTACTCGTATCCCCCGTGTCACTGTCGTGCTCGCCTGGCGTCACCTCAGTCGGCACCTGCATGGATACTGTACCATCTGGACAATGTGGAGCTGCATCGATCTCCACCACCTGCGATATCTCCTCCGTCGGATCGCTCTCCACCTGATGAGAGCTGGGAAGCTTCAAGATAGAAGCCTCATCGAATGTGACGTCCCTACTCAGCACAATCTTCTTATCCACTGGATCCCAAAGCTTGTATCCCTTGACACCACACTTGAATCCTACAAATATGGCCTTCCTAGCTCGAGGTTCCAATTTATCAGTTTTAACATGATAATATGCAGGGCACCCAAATACTTTGAGCTGGTCATAATTGTGTGCTGGCTTTTCCGACCACATCTCCATAGGGGTTTTCCCCTCAATCGCAGATCAATCGCAGATGAAGGTAGCCTATTAATGAGGTGGCTCGCATATGTAAGTGCTTCAGCCCAAAAGATCTTCTCCAAACCACTCTGCGACAATAAGCATCGGATCTTCTCCAGTAAAGACCGATTCAACCTCTCTGCCACCCTATTTTGCTGCGGTGTATGACTAACTGTGAAGTGCCTCTCTATGCCCTCGTCTCGACATAGCTGCAGAAAGGGGTCTGATATGTACTCACCACCGTTGTCGGATCGCAACGTCTTGATCTTTCTCCCAGTCTGTAGTTACAATCTCTTCTTCCACTCCACAAACAAATCTAGGACTTCACTCTTCTTCGTCATGGTGTACACTCAACAACGCCTAGAATAGTCATCTACAAAAGTGACGAACAAATGTCTATCACCAAGTGATGCAGTCTTGGTGGGACCCCAAACGTCTGTGTGCACGTAATCCAGGATGCCCCTCGTCTGATAAATGGCAGTCCCGAACTTCACCTTCGTCTTCTTGCCAAGAACACAGTGCTCACAGAACTCAATCTTCCCACTCTTGGCTCCCTTCAATAGCCCCTGCTTGCACAATGCCTGCAGTGACTTTTTACCTGTGTGCCCCAATCTATAGTGCCAAAGTCTGCTCATGTCCGCTTCTGAAATAGCCGAAACAACCTGGCCAATCTCGATGCTTCCCTTTAGATAATACAAATTTCGATTGCGGACTCCCCTCATCACCACCAATGATCCCTTAGTAACCTTCGCTACAGCGTTTTCGAAAGTCACCTTGAATCCCTTCGCCTCCAAAGCTCCAACTGAGATAAGATTTTTCTTCAGTTGAGGAACAAATCTCACCTCCTTCAACTCACAGACTACTCCATCGTGCATCCTAATCCGTACGGTACCTATCCTATAAACACCACAGGATTGATCATTTCCCATGACAACAACGCCCCCGTCAACTTTCTCAAAAGATGCAAACCAGTCTCGCCTAGGGGTCACATGAAAAGTAGCGCCGGAATCAAGCATCCAATCTGATGCATCCACATGGTTCACCTCCGGAGTAATCAGTAGAGAAAAGCACGAATCATCGGAATCATCGCCTTTCGCAATATTCACCTCATTGGCCTTCGGGCCCTTTTTCTTGCCATTCTCTTTCTCCTTGAGCTTCGGGTAGTCTCTCTTCCAATGTCCCTGCTCCTTGCAGAATGCACATTGGTTCTTTGTTAATTGGTGGCGGCCTCTAGACTTTGATCTTCCTCTATTACCACCTTTCGGATATGGGCTTCTACCTCTCGTCGACAAGGCCTCTCCTGAAGTACTAGCTCGGGAAGTCTACTTGTCCTTCCTCCTCAAATCGTAATTTGTCAAAGCGTTAGTCACTTCACTATAGCTGATAGAAGATCTCCCGTTCAACAAAGTGAGCACGAAGGTATCATACTCCTCATCCGGTAAGGAGCCCAACAAAATAATCGCCTTGTACTCATCCGATATCTTCTCATCAACATTCGCCAAGTCCGACAATAACTTAGTGTAGTTGTTCACATGAGCCGCTAGCGAGGTGCCTCTGGACATCTGAAATCTGAAGAGTCTTCGCAGCAAGTGCAACCTGTTCTCAACACTCTTTGTGAGATACTTGTTGAGAATTTCCCACATCTTCATTGCAGACGTCACCCCAATCACATCATATTTTAGTTCCTGTTCTAAACAGGACCTGATCACCCCACACGCGTTCCTATTTATTTTCTCCCATACCGCCTCTTCATATTTAGGTGGCCTCTCGTGGACCATGATGGTCTCTTCTAAATTCTGAGCATTGAGCGCATCCTGTACGTCGCTCATCCACAAACCAAAGTTGATTTTGCCGTCATACTTCACCACACTAATCTTAGTATTTTGAAAACCAACTTGTATTGTACTCGCCATCGACTTGCTGCTTTCACCTTCTTCTCCCATTGCAAACTAACTCCAATTTGTAGAGAAAGAACAATTTTGATAGAATTAGGAACCACCCAACTGAACCCTAGATCGGATTCCAAATAGATCTCCTATCCACACGAGGAAAGCGAAATCTCCAACGGCAACTTCTAATGCTATCTCCACCGAAGCCGAGAACTCCAAGAACTAAGCTTCACACAAGAATCTTCCTCTCTGATACCACTTGTTACGCGCGCAGCACTTCGGCAGCACAACAAGAGAGTCAGGTCGCAATAAGAATTCTTGTTTCTCAAAGGGAACAAGAATCTGAAGCCTAATATCCCATCAAAGTGGGATATTAACTCTTCTTCTCGTCAGCTCTAGGACTGCGCGTCGAGGGAACCTAAAAGCTATTACAAATCACACAAATAACGAGACAACCAATTTTTACGTGGTTCGGTAAATTGCCTACGTCCACGGGACAAGGAGGGGGAAGATCTACTAATAGAGGGAGAGAATACAACTAGGGTTTACAATCACTCAATCTAAATCCTCACACAAACTCTCAGATCCCTCACACAAAATCTCTCTACAAAAGGGATGCACAAAACCCTAACAAAAGTACAAAAGGACTGCACACAAAATCACAAAATCAAAGACGTGTTTCCTTGCTACAGTCGCTTTTCCCTCTGCTTTGCATCAACACCTTTTGCCGCCCCTGTTCATGCTCAGCCGAAAACAATCAAATCTCCTGCACCTTAAAACCTAATAAACAATTGTTTATATATAGGCATGTATAGTTATCGGGTGGGCCTGGTAATTCGGGTCTTTGGGTGTTCACGAAAAAACACCTCACACAATTTGCTCACGTGTGGTCCCCGCTCATTCACGTTCACAGGAATCCACTACAAAAACCTGCTTGCTTAGGGAATCAAACTGTTCCTTCTATTGTCAAGTTCCGGTGCGCTCTCTTCACCAAGGTTACACAAATCGATCAAAGTCATCTGTTTTCTCTGTTGAGAAAGAGGTTTCGAGTCTCCTTACTTATCCCCGAGCCTTAAGCCGGTCTTTAGACAAGATGAAATAATATCATATATGTTTGGTACCAGAAAGGAGTCTGCGAGTCTATGCTAATGCCAAGATAAAGTCGATATGGCGAACTGTCATGTGAAGGCCCGGCGGACATAGTGGTTGTGCACGCGAGGTAGAAGGAATGTCATCCAGCGTTCACTATTGGCAAAAAAAGCAAAGAGAGTCCAATGATAAGGGGGATTATAAAACAAAAAAGAAAGAAGTCTCCATAAATGCCAGATATATCAAAGGGAACTTCAAATCTTGCCAGGCTAGGAGTTGAAGAGGTACCTGCACATGAATGATGCATACAATCCCCTATTGCTATCTATAATAGAATATCCCTAATGTTGGAATAGCAGCTGTGTTTCTTGCTCTTAGCCTTCGAAAAGGGCTCTGATTCGAACTTGATCGTGGGAGGTTTGGTTTCAACTTGTTCGGGTTTTTGGGATGGAGAGCTTGACCAAGGGCTTGATCTTTCTTTTAGGAGCTAAACGTAAGTCGACGGCGGGCTGAGCGCCGCCGTATCAAGCTTTGTCGATGATTGATCGGGGATGAGAGTTTAGGTTTTTTTTTTTCCGTTCTCCAAGACTTCCTCAAAGAGTTCGCTCAACCCCATTTAAGACTAAATGGGCCAGGGTCAGTTCTTGTCAACCCGTATTGACCCATCTAATAAATGGGTCAACCCGGGTTGACCAGTTTATGACTCGACCCATATAACTTAACCCATATCCATTGTAAACGGGTCGGGTCCAGTTAGATTGATGGGTCAGGATATAAATTGCAAACCCTAGATGGGGTGAGTTGGAGGGGATTACTGGAAGGTGGGGATGATTTTAGTACGGAGGGAGGTGAATCTGGAATTATTCCAGTTAGATCATTTTGTAATTAGAGTTAATCAAATATTATTTCATAATTTAGTTGCTTAATAAAATGTAATGAAGGTAGTAAGTAGATTCTCTAACATTTAGCTTGGGTGGTGAAATTGAAGAAAATAATTTGGGGGACAAATTAGAAGGAAACTAAAATTAACTATAATTGTAGGGTGAAAAACACACAAAAACTAAGGATTTTTTTTAGATTGTGTGGTGCAACTTGGGTGTGAAGCCCTAGTTTTGAAGGTGCAAGGCCGTGGTTAGCATGAAAACCATTGATCTGCTATAGCCATGTTACAATTGAGATTGATTAGATACAAAAAGAGAATCAATGATTCTAAAAACGCCAAAAACCGGTTTTTTTCCTTATTCCTTTTATCTCCCATCGTCCCACATGATAAAGGAATAGATGAAGTAAAAAGAAGAAAATGATGTTTGAAAAAATTTACTATTAAATTGTTGACTCTAATAGAAATTTCCTTGTACCTTTATCCATAAGAGACAAAGTATTAGTTATAAATAATTAATTAGACATATAAAAAGGAGAAAATTATGTTTTTTATTGTTTGGTGCAATCTTCGATATGACCTTAGTTTTTGAAGTTGTAAAACTTAATTGGTGTTCATAATGAGACCATATAATTAGGATGCTAAAGTCTATCATTATCACTTATTTAAGCAGTTAGTTATTATGGTCATTGGTCACTAAAAAAATCAATGCTATATTACAATTAATTTTGTAAATCCATATTTTTGCAGAAAAAGACAATGCAAATGATGTATGAAACAATTTACAAAGCTTTGAAAGAAGAAGGCCTCGAGGAGACATATGAACCTCAAGATTATTTAAATTTCTTCTGCCTTGGTAACCGGGAGGTCTCAGACCAAGAAGACGCTCAAACTGGAAGTCCTGCTGCACCAGCAACATCTCCCTTGGTAAGTATCCATAGTTTAAAGAATATTTTCCCTTTCACTTTCTATCAAGGATAAGGTAGACTTGTGACATATTTTGAATCTTCTTACGATATAAAGTAAACATTGTACTGGTCTTCTTTTCTATGTACTGGAAAATGTTTGTCATGCACGTGTACTTGTGGTTATGTCTATTTATATTGAGTATTTTCTTGAGAGTTATCGCATATGAAAAAAAGGCAAGCTCCGTCTACAAACAAATAATAATAGAACTAAAATGTATTTAGTGATTCTTGATATAGAAAGATGCAACTGAGATATTCTTTAGCGCTAGTTAGCAATAAAGAGCTATTTTTGTCTTCATCAACATTAATTTAATTTGGATGATGACTCCAAAAATTCCAGAAGAGTTACAAATTTTATTTTATACAAAACACTTGTACACCTTATGTAGTGATCAAATATGTTATTAGAAAACTAACTTTTGACATATTACACAGTGGTCTGAATCTTAGGAAATTACACAGTGGTCTGAATCTTTGGGTGCCCACAATGGTAGCCTAAATGATACATTTAAGACTACACCCTAATTTTTAAAATTTCTAATTAACATTTAATTAAATCTCTAGTTATAACCCTTAAACCCTAGTTACGGAGAAAGAGATATGGGGAGGAGTCGCTGGCGGATAGCCTACGTCAAGGTTGGATAGAGGAGGGATTGCTGGCAGTGGTTAGCAAGTAGAGCTAGAGGAGGGAGGGAGAGAGTTCCCACGACGATGGTCACTAATGACGATGCAAAATCATGCCTCTATACAAAACTCTGGTGATTTTCCCACCAACGCCTCAACTTATTGAGTAATGATGCTGATTGTGATGAGTAAGTGTCCATCATCTATGACATGTTGCGAGTGATGGTAGGCTTGAAGAAGATGTCAATTGAAAATTGATGGTATAGGCAAAACGATTAGGTGTTTAGTTCTACTTAATGGT